ATGTCCCAATCTCTCTGTGTGGTCACTGTTCACTTACCGTGACTCCTAGTTGCTTTGGGGTTTGGATATTTACTAGGTCCATCTTCCTGCTAGAGATGTCAGAAGTGGCCTACTTAAACACTGCCAATAATAGATCATGTATTTTAAAGAGAAGAATAGAATTTCTACAGAACATACATGTGAGTCAAGTATTCCCACTTCTGTTTTTTTTAAGTTACAAATTCACAGATATTCTTCTGCAATTGCTGCAGAACAAAGATAAACTGCAATATTCAAGCTGATAAAAATATTAAAAATTATATACTGAAGTTAGCTTTGCTTGCAATAATAAATTAAGATAGAAACTTGCTGTGGTAAACTTTAAAAAAATTCTCCGATATATGGTATATGATGTGAGCTTTGTGATTTTGAAGACATTTTCCATGTTTGTGACTAGTTTTATGATTTTGGAATTATTATACAAATTAATTTGACATCAATGTGCATGGCTAAACCATTCAATTTGTTTCCAGTGCTCAAATGCCAGCACTGCTATAACATGGCAGTGAACTGAAAGAGTATTCTGGATATTGACGAGTAGATCAAGATTCAAATGTTCATCAAACTGAACCACAGTCTCCAGTTGACTGTTGGATTCAAGTGCTTCAGACAGAGCAATCCAAAGGGGAAAAATACAGATATTTTAATTTATGAATGTTTGCAGTAATAAGTATTTTTCTCACTAGTTTTAATGCTGTGATTTTTTTTTTTATATCAAGAAAGTAAGCAGAAATTCCCCTCATCCAAACCATGTGTATAAAAAATACTCATACAAATACAAGACCTGAAAGGTTTTTTTATCTACGCATTTTCTCTTAGAAACCTCTGGACAATTGAACTAGTAGGATTATGACATCACAGGTAACAAATGAGAGAAAATTGAGCAAACAAGTTGGGAAAGGGATTTTTAATCACAGTTAAATTTTCTTGTCTATATTTTATTATTAACTTTTTTAGAATAGATGTAAATCTTTTATATTAGAAACTATTACAGGCAAGAAATGCTCCTTTTGAGTGTACTGCACATTGCTGGGCATACAGTTAGCTCTAAAAAAATAAACCACTCCTGGCAAAATGTTGGGAGAAAGGATCTCTTCATGGAAGCTTCAACGCTCTACCTGTTAAACTAAGTGATAAGTGGGCCCTCCGTTTCTCTTGTGGTCTTAGTCTTCCAGCAAAAACTGGGAGAATACGACTTGATTGTCCTGATATTTGTAAAATAAAAAAAATTGCAGGAAATATATTAACCCAATACCACAATCACCACATGTACGCAACACTTTCAGGGCTTCTTTATACAGCAGAAAGGGAAAAGGAAAACATAGGTTTGTGCAAGCTACCTTTTAACTGAAAGCTGCTTGATTTAGAACATTTATTTAAATTAAACTTAGCCATCTTTGAATTTCATTATCATTTTATAGCACGGTGTTTGTAGATCTACGAAAAATGTAATATGTTTATTATAATGCAAAGTCTATAAAATGTATATAAAAATCTATTTCTGATTTGCAAACATTGCTCCCCATATATTTTATAAAATTTCAGCAAATTCAGATTGGATGGCTGTTCCTATATGTGCAGCAACTTAATCTGAACTTTCAGACAAGCGTTGACAAGTGTAGGTCTGGCATGTGAGCCGTTTGTCTTAATATATGTCACTCTTAGTGCTATATATGAAATGTCTTTAAATAACACCAATTTTTACCAATAGATAGTTGTGTGTATAAACTGATTGTATATCATACAGGTGGCTTGTACATCAAATTGCTTAACAGGTGACTCAGTCTCATGTCATCTGACAAGACTCATTTCTTATTTTAACTAAAACTGAATTATAGGCATTTGTTTTGTTCTTAAAGTAGGTTCTGGTTTTTTAAATACAGGTTGAACCTCTCTAGTCCGGCACCCTCAGGACCTGACTGGTGCCGAACCAGAGAATTTGCCGAACCATGGGAGGTCAATGCAGAGTGCCAGCAGGTTTCCATAGGCGCGGGAAGTAGAGGTCCTGGGGGTGCTGCAGCACCCTCAGGCTTTGCGCACTGTGTGGCCCCCCGGCTGGGGGCCCCATTGCCACCTGGGGTCCTGGCCGCCAGCCCCCCGCCTGGGGGCCCCAATGCCACCCCAGGTCCCAGCTGCTGGCTCCTCGCCTGGGGTCCCAGCCGCCAGCCCCAGGTCCTCCTACTTCCTCATGGAGCTTGAACGTTGCAAATCAGCTGTTCGTGGCGCTCTGGAAGTGCTGGGAGGGAGGAGGAGGAGTTGGTAAGCGCGGGGCCGCTGGCGCACGAGAGGTGCGGGGGGAGGGGGGCAGAGGTGGGATCTTGGAGCCGGTGGATGCTCCGCACCCACTAATTTTTCCCTGTGGGTGCTCTAGCCCCAGAGCACCCACAGAGTCGGTGCCTATGCCGGACGATGGATGTTGCCGGACCAGGGAGTGCTGGATTAGGGGAGGTTCAACCTGTACCTGTAATACTCCTACATCAGCAAGTACTCTTCTTTTAGTTGCCTGAATTAAACTGGAAATTTCCTGTGTGCTTTGACTTCCATCTTTGAATGCTTATTGAAAATGTTTCTACTGTACAAAGTATAGCAGCATGACATATACTAGTGTTAGGATTGAGAAAAAATCTATAACTACTCTACTGATAATTACTACCAATAGGGGTACTGCTTCATGTTATCATGTATTGTTAAATTGAACATAAGAGCGGCGATACTGGGTCAGATCAAAGGTCCATCAAGCCCAGTATCCTGTCCTCTGACAGTGGCCAATGAACAGACAGGTTATCATCAAGTGATCCATGCCCTGTCACCCAATCCCAGCTTCTGGCAAACAGAGGCTAGGGACACCATTCCCTCCCATCCTGGCTAATAGATTCATGGAAGATAGGTCCATCAATGGCTATCTAGCTCCTTTTTGAACCCTGTTATAGTATTGGCCTTCACAGCACCCTCTGGCAAGGAGTTCCAGAGGTTGACAGAGCGTTGCTTGAGCCAAATTATTTTAACTCTTAGAGTAGCTGCTTTGTATGTGATGGGGAAAGAGAGGGTTGGTGAGATTGTTAAAATCACTCTTTTAAAGGCCCACTTCGGTGGAGCATGTGCCTAAATTTAGGCACATAAGTAGTCCATTGACTTCAGTGGAACAACTCTTATGCTTAAAATTAGGCATGTGCTTAAACATCTTCATCCACCAGGGCCAAGTATGACTTTGTTGTCTACTTAAGTTATGTTTCAACAGTGAATTTTTGCAAATCCTTATACCAATAATAAAAAAAATCTGTTACTGTGTAGATTGTTGCCAAACAATATTGTGAGCTGCTGGATTTTTTTCCCCCTGAAGGCTATGAATAGTGCATGCCTGTACTTGTAATGACTAAATTTAAATGAGCACATCTATTAAGAAGTGGGTTGTAGCCCACGAAAGCTTATGCTCTAATAAATTTGTTAGTCTCTAAGGTGCCACAAGTACTCCTGTTCTTTTTGCGGATACAGACTAACACGGCTGCTACTCTGAAACATCTATTAATGTTTTTTTTTCAAGTTAATATAATTGAAATTTTATCCTCTGTCTTGCAGACATCCTCAGGTCATATAAATTATCATTGGAATACATTGAGGAGTAAATATACTTAGTGCATATGATTTTCTTTTCAGAGAAGTGCCTGTTTAATGCAGAAGTCAAATTTTAGACAGAACATTTTTATACTTAAGAATAAAGTGAATTATATTCAGACTGTAGCTAAGTTGCTTCATCTGGCCATACATTAGATGTTAAATCTACACAACATTTACAAATTTTATCATTAACATAGAATTCAGTCTTAACTCTGTATTCCACAGCATAAGAGGAAAATGTAAAAAGTTGTCAGTGTTTGTTTAAAGGGGGAAGGCAGCATTCACAGTTCTCCTCTTCACTTAAAGGTTGTATTGAGATCCTTTTTATTGATCAAACAAAAGGTAGTGTGTATATTTTCAGGCTAAAAAGATGCAGCCTTTTGGTCCAAAAGCTTCTGGATGGTAAAATATTGCAGGTTAAACAATTGGTTTACTATTCTTCTAGTTTCCTCATTAGTAAAAAGCATTGATACTTCATTTGAAATTTGACCACATGATCTTTGAGCTCTGTGTAAATGTGGACTTCAAAGTGTGTAAAATTATCATTCAGGTTAGAGAAGATTAAGGAAAGGACCACAAGGAATAAATTTAATTTCTAGACCATATTTTTTGCATCAGTCCAGATTCGATCATTTAGACATTTTTAAGTATTTTCACTGTTACTTAGAACTACATTTTCAAAAGTTGATTTTTATGTGATAAGTGTTTTGTAGTTTGGGAAGGAAAATGTTGTTTTGTTCACTGCAAGGCTCATCGTAGCAACACTTGAGCCCCTCCAGTCTCTTGATTGAGTTGCAAAGTTTAGCTTTTTGAGTTGAGTTTAGATTTTTCTTCCTTTCTGCTTCTAAACTCAATATTGGTGACAACATAATTTATAGTACACCGCTACCTCGATATAACGCCACCTGATATAACACGAATTCGGATATAACGCAGTAAAGCAGTGCTCCGGGGGGGCGGGGCTGCGCACTCCGGTGAATCAAAGCACGTTCAATATAACACGGTTTCACCTATAACGCGGTAAGATTTTTTTTTTGGCTCCCGAGGACAGCGTTCTATTGATGTAGAGGTGTATTTTGAGATGAGGACCAATACAGCAAGAAATCTTAGTGTATGTTGATGCAATTAATCTTTTGCCTAGCTAACTTTCCTCCACTGCCTCTTACTCCCAAAAGCAGTGCAAGTAATATAATCAATTAAGACTTTAGAATATGTTTTGATTGACGAGCTTTACTTAAGGTGAAAGCTCAGGAGCCTAACTGGACCTCTAGTTACTGTTGCCAGAATCTTTATTTGCTTGGTAATCTATTTGAAAGCAAATTTAATTTGGCTTTGTTTATTTTCAGAATTGGTAAAGGATTTCAAGGAGTCATGAAAAGATGGGGATTTAAAGGCCAGCCGGCCACCCATGGCCAAACTAAAACACACAGAAGACCTGGGGCGATATCCAACACTGTAAGTAGTTGAACTTCATTTATCTCAATTTAGATACTCTTCACCACCATTCTTTGGAGCAACACTTAGTGCAGGAGAGAGAGCTGTGTGTTTAAAACAAACCATTTCACAGTATGTAGACATGCTAGAACAGACCAATTATCCTTCTAGTCTAGTGTCCTGTCTGACAGTACCAGATGCTTCAGAGAAAGGTGCAAACAGATACATAATGGACAATATATGGAATAACATGTCCATAGAACTTTCTTTCTAACCTGAGGCAATAGTGGTTTCCTTATACACCTGCGACCCGATATAACACGAATTCGGATATAACGCGGTAAAGCAGTGCTCCGGGGGGTGGGAGGGCTGCGCACTCCGGCAGATCAAAGCAAGTTTGATATAACGCAGTTTCACCTACAATGCAGTAAGATTTTTTGGCTCCCGAGGACAGCGTTATAGAGGGGTAGAGGTGTATCTTGGTGCATGAGGGTTAATATCATTTTGTAATTTTTTTTTTAATTTAGCTAATAGATGTTACTAAACATAATGTTTTATCACAAAGTAGGGAGAAATAAAATCCACTCTTAAATCTGTGCTAAGAGGAATCTGAAATCTCTTTATAATTTCATTTATGTAACCATTGTCACAAGCCAAACATTTTGATGTTAGATTGGAAGGGTTTTGGCATTTTGCTTTATCTTCCAAAGATCCAGCTGATATTTTGATGACTTGAAGGGTTTACAGTGGAATTTCATCTAGCTTCTTGACCTTAACTAGCTTGTATCCTTATTTAACAAATCTTTCAAACTATAGCATTCAATGCCAAAATAAAGAGCGTGCTATTGATTTCTCTACATGCTTCCTTGAAGTCCATTCCCTAGGGTATGTCTACACTACGGGATTAATCCGAATTTATATAATTTGAATTTTGGAAACAGATTGTATAAAGTCGAATGTATGCAGCCACACTAAGCACATTAATTTGGTGGTGTGCGTCCATGTACCGGGGCTAGCGTCGATTTCCAGAGCGTTGCACTGTGAGTAGCTATCCCATAGTTCCCGCAGTCTCCTCCGCCCATTGGAATTCTGGGTTGAGATCCCAATGCCTGATGGAGCCAAAAACATTGTCGCAGGTGGTTCTGGGTACATCCTCCCCCCTCTCCAGGGAAGCAACGACAGACAACCGTTTCGCGCCTTTTTCCTGGGTGAACAGTGCAGACGCCATACCACTGCAAGCATGGAGCCCGCTCAGCTCAAGACAGCAGTCATGAACATTGTAAACACCTCATGGGCTGGCCGGGAAGGGTTCATGATGCTCGCGTCTTCAGGAACACTACTCTGTTTAAACGGCTGCAGCAAGGGACTTACTCCCGGACCAGAAAATAACCGTTGAGGATGTTGAAATGCCTATAGTTATCCTTGGAGACCCAGCCTACCCCTTAATGCCATGGCTCATGAAGCCATACACAGGCAGCCTGGACAGGAGTCAGGAGCTGTTCAACTACAGGCTGAGCAAGTGCAGAATGGTGGTAGAATGTGCATTTGGCCGTTTAAAAGGTCGCTGGCGCTCGTTACTGACTCGGTCAGACCTCAGCCAAACCAGTATCCCCATTGTTATTGCTGCTTGCTGTGTGCTCCACAATCTCTGTGAGAGTAAGGGGGAGACCTTTATGGCGGGGTGGGAGGCTTAGGCAAATCACCTGGCTGCTGATTATGCGCAGCCAGACACCAGGGCGATTAGAAGATCACACCAGGAAGCGCTGCGCATCAGAGAAGCTTTGAAAACCAGTTTCATGACTGGCCAGGCTACAGTGTGAAAGTTCTGTTTGTTGAAAACCCGCCCCCTTGATTGACTCATTCCCTGTAAGCAAACCACCCTCCCCCCTTAAATCACAGCTTGCTTTTAAAGGAAATAAAGTCACTATCGTTTAAAAATCATGTATTCTTTATTAATTGATTATAAACATAGGGGAAGAACCGACAAGGTAACCTGGGTGAGGTTTGGGAGGAGGATAGGAGGGAAGTAAAAGGCCACTGGAAAAATTCAATATGACAGCCTTTTGGTTGGGCTGTCCACTGGGGTGGAGTGGGAGGGTGCACAGAGCCTCCCCCCTCCCCCCCCCGCGTTCTTACACACCTGGGTGAGGAGGCTATGAACATGGTGAGGGGGGAGGGAGGTTATACAGCGGCTGCAGCGGCAGTCTGTTATCCTCCTGCCGTTCTTGAAGCTCCACCAGATGCCGGAGCATGTCCATTTGATCACGCAGCAGCCCCAGTGTTGCAGCCTGCCACCTCTCATCTCGAGTATCCCTCATGACCTCACGTTCGCTGGCATCTTTCCTGTACTTAGATACCATGTCCTTCCACTCATTCAAATGAGCTCTTTCATTGCGGGTGCATTCCATTATTTCCGAGAACATCTCGTCTCGCGTATTCTTTCTCCGCCGCCTTATCTGAGAGAGCCTTCGGGACGGAGGAGGGAGGCTTGAAAAATTTGCAGCTGCTGGAGGGATGAAAAAAAGGAGAGAAGTTTTTAAAATGATACATTTTACAGAACAATGCTTATACTCTTTCATGGTGAACAACACTATTCACATTACATAGCACATGTGATTTCAGTACAAGGTCGCATTTTCCATCTTAGTATTGAGTGCCTGTGGCTTTGGTGTCAAGTATCAGAGGGGTAGCCGTGTTAGTCTGAATCTGTAAAAAGCAACAGAGGGTCCTGTGGCACCTTTAAGACTAACAGAAGTATTGGGAGCATAAGCTTTCGTGGGTAAGAACCTTGCATCTGAAGAAGTGAGGCTCTTACCCACAAAAGCTTATGCTTCCAATACTTCTGTTAGTCTTAAAGGTGCCACAGGACCCTCTTTTGTGGCTTTGGTGTTAGAGATCACAGACGCAGGTCCAGGCAACAGAATTCAGCTTGCAGGCAGCCATGGTAAGCCATTGTCTTTCGGCTTCTGCGCCCTCCTTTCCCACATACCAAGCAAAGCCTGTTGATTGCTGCGGTTTTCCTGTTAACCTCCAGCAGCAGAAAACAAAATAACCCCCCCCCCCAATCCAATTATCTGGAATGATCGCTGTACCCCTCCCCCCACCGCGTGGCTGGTATCAGGGAAGATCCCTGCTAGCCAAAGGCGAAAAGCTCAGCTCCAATTTCCCTCCCCCTCTCCCCCTCCCCCCGCGCTTGGCTAACTGCAGGGAAGGATTTCTTTTCAGCCACAGGCAAACAGCCCAGTAGGAACGGCCACCTCTGTCCCCTTAATTAAATTCACGTATTTCAACCAGGTTACCATGAGCGATATCACTCTCCTGAGGATTACACAGCGAGATAAAGAACGGATGTTGCTTGAATGCCAGCAAACACTGGGACCATACGCTGCCAGGCTTTGTCATGCAATGATACCAGATTACTTGCTACTAGCATGGCGTGGTCAAGTGTCCTACCATGGAGGACGGAATAAGGCTGCACTGCCCAGAAACCTTCTGCAAAGGCTTTTGGAGTACCTCCAGGAGAGCTTCATGGAGATGTCCCTGGAGGATTTCCGCTCCATCCCCAGACACGTTAACAGACTTTTCCAGTAGCTGTACTGGCTGCGAATGCATCCCAAGTCCTCAGGGCAAATTAATCATTAAAAAACGCTTTTAAACCATGTTTTATATTTTAAAAGGTAAACTCACCTGAGGTCCCTTCCATGGGGTCATGGTCTTGGGTACTGGCTTGGGAGGGTACTTCAGTCAGGCTGAGAAAAAGATCCTGGCTGTTGGGGAGAACGGAGTGCTGCGCTCTCTCCGCAAGCTCGTCGTCCTCCTCCTCTTCCCCATCCGCAGAATCCTCAGGTGTAGCTGATGAGACTATCCCCGACTCGGAATCCACGGTCACAGGTGGGGTAGTGGTGGCGGCCCCCCCTAGAACTGCATGCAGCTCAGCGTAGAAGCGGCATGTCTGCGGCTCTGACCCGGAGCGACCGTTTGCCTCCTTTGTTTTCTAATAGGCTTGTCTGAGCTCCTTGACTTTCACGCGGCACTGCTCTGAGTCCCTATTGTGGCCTCTCTCCATCATGCCCTTGGAGATTTTTTCAAAAGTTTTGGCATTTCGTCTTTTTGTACGAAGTTCTGCTAGCACTGAATCCTCTCCCCATATAGCGATCAGATCCAGTACCTCCCGTACAGTCCATGCTGGTGCTCTTTTTCGATTATCGGCCTGCATGGTTATCTGTGCTGATGAGCTCTCTGTGGTCACCTGTGCTCTCCTGTGCTGGGCAAACAAGAAATGAAATTCAAATGTTCGCGGGGCTTTTCCTGTCTACTTGGCCAGTGCATCCGAGTTCAGATTGCTGTCCAGAGCGGTCACAATGGTGCACTGTGGGATAGATCCCAGAGGCCAATACCATCGAATTGCGGCCACACTAACCCTAATTCGAAATGACAATATCAATTTTGGCGCTACTCCGCTTGTTGGGGAGGAGTACAGAAATTGATTTTAAGAGCCCTTTATTTCGAAATAAATGGCTTCGCGTTGTGGACGGGTGCAAGGTTAATTCGATTTAATGCTGCTAAATTCGAATTAAACTCATAGTGTAGACCAGGCCCTAGATAGGTGGTCTGGACTTTACATTTATCTAGTATAGAAACTTTGGACCTGTGAAGTTGGCACATTATTGGGACCAAACTAGGTGTTATATGAAACAGTTGTATTATCCGAATACCGGGGAACCAGAGCTGGGACCAACAAAGCCATTGTACTGAGACCTGATTATGTTGTTGTCTTTTTTTTTTATTATTATTATTATTTCCTGGAGTGATTTTAAAAAAAATGTCCAGAAGAATGGATGAAATGATTAATGACACTTGAGAGAACTTCAGGAACAAAATGACACTATGCTGCACAAGACAGGCCACAAGACTATAAGAACAACTAGTATTGATCTCCTCCATTCTAACTGCAAATTGGGCTGCTAAGCTCTACTTCTGGCATTTGTTTTCATATAATGCTGGAAAATTTGATTTTTCTGGCCGTATAATACTTTGTTTAGCAGTTGGTACTAATCATTAAAAAACCCAAAGTAACTCTTGTGTAGGTATTTTGAATTTCATCTGGGTTTGTGCCATTTGTAATTTCATGAAACAAGTAGAACTAGAATAGGAAACTAAGAAGTAAAGGGAGAAGATAAGATGATCAGGGCAAAGTAATGTCCATGATGTTGGATCATATTTGCCTATCCATATGGACCATTTTTACTGTGGGTTTCATTTCAGTGTTGAGTACAGGAACATCCCCCGTTAGCCTTACTGCAGTTGATTCTCTGGGCTCATGTCTTTGACACAAGTTAAAGAAAAAGAGAAACACTACAAATGCACATGGGAGGGGAAGGAAGCAGCAGAGAATCCTAGATGATGGTATGAAAATGGAGACAACCTTCATCTCTTGTCACCTAACTGACTTCTGTTTCCTGCTAAGAACTGTACTCGGACATCACTATTGGCACAGGCTACTTAAGGAACGTGAAAATTACTGCCTTTATTTCTACCTTTTTCTGTGCACAATACACACTGTGCAAAGATGCCCAACTGAACTTTCAAATAACAAAGGGGGTCCGGCTAGTATTTGGTTTGTGGTGGCATCATTTTGAAAACATACCTTCCTATTAAAAGAAAAAGAAACTAAGGGTGAGATTCTCTGCTGCACATCTAGAAGACGTAGAACAGAACTCGGACCAGGGTGAAGTGGGCTAAAGGGACTTTAAGTCATTTTTGCACCCTCCTGATCATGGGCTGCTGTAGGGTCTTGGGATGGGCCACAAGGTAATTTAGAGAGCCCTGAAAAGCAGTCTAAGTTACAGCAACCTCCCCGAGCTGTGCTATAGGTGGCAGTGCTGCATGCAGCAGCCCTCCTCTGGCACATCCCCTACTCCAGGATTTATCAAAGAGGCCTTGGAAGGCAGCCTTACATCTGCCTCCACAGGGCTTGTGGCAGGGGAATCTTCTTTTTAGAGGGCTTTTAGAGCTCTCTTACCCCCTTTTGACCATTTTACCTGATGTAAAGGGGCAGGGGCAGGAGTGAGAATGTCCCCTCTGATCTGTAAACCTCTTTGTCAAGGCTGGAGCATCCTGTATTGTTTCTCTGTATCTTGACAATGTATTGTACGTTGCGTAGGAAGTCTCAGCTCGCCGTAATACAGTGAATCTACACTATTTCCGGTAACACACAAACTTTTTGCACACCAGTAGGAAGCATTTACAAATGCTACTCAGTAATGGAGATCTTCAACACTGCAAACCCCATCTTTGAGATTCCTCTTGGTGTCAATTTGTCCAATATGTGAAACAGTCTACGTTAACAAATGTAGCTATTTCCCTTCCTTACCTCTCTGAACTTTGCCAAGAAGCTTTATATACCCCTTTCAATTTGCAATGGTACCTTTTGTAAGTATGTAATTTTTGGCCCTATTTTGATACAGGGTGCTGGCAAAGTTTTCCGTGGAACAAAAATGCCTGGGAAAATGGGTAATATCTACAGGACCTCTTTTGCATTAAAGGTGAGTTCTAAATATAGTAGTCACGTGTGGAGAGAGTTCACTCTATTTCAGTTAGATAATGAGGCTTGGCAGCTGCCGTAACACCCATGTCATGCTGACAGGACTGGTGACTGCTTAGAGCACAAACCTCTTTCAGATTGGGTGTGAACGCATCCTTTAATTGCCATAACTGTCAGGATGAGTTAATCAGAAGTCCCCCATCTAAGGCTATGTTTGCACTACCACTCTTCTCTGTATGACTTATGTCGCTCAGGGGTGTAAAAAAACCACGCTGAGCGACATAAGTTACACCAACAAAAGTGCCGGTGTGGACAGTGCTATGTCGGCGGGAGAGCTTTTCCCACCAACATAGCTACCTCTGATCATTGGGAGTGGTTTAATTATGTCAATGGGAGAGCTCTCTCCCTTCGGCGTAGAGCAGCTACACGAGAGATCTTAAAGCAGCACAGCTGCATTGGTACAGATGTGCCTCTGTAGTCTGTCTACTGTAGACATGGCCTAAGACACGAAAGAATGTGAACCCATCCAGAAGTTTTTGCTGAGTATATTTTTGTTTGCGGGGAAGGGAGGGGTGAAGGGAGGCAGAACACCTAGAAACCGAGAACACCCTGAATGGAGAGGCAGAGCAGCTGAAAACACAGCATCTAACCCTGGAAGAAATGTGGGGAGAGGTGCTGTTGGTGCTGTGAACAAAAGCAGTTTCCTGCTATTTGATTCTTTCTGCATTCAGTGACACAGGATTTTGTACATTCTTTATAAATAAAATGTCATCAAAGAAATACCTCACTACCACCACTTCCTACTCCTGCCTGGAACATCCCCAGGGCCCCAATCTTTGACTAGCTGCTTGGGTTGAAAAGGGGAAACACCCCACAATGCAATATCACATTTCAGTCAGAACCCAAACTAGGTCAGCATAACTGCACCATGAAAGAGAGAGCCAAAAAGGCCCAAACACGTCTCCATCCTCATCTTGTAACTTAAAAAGAAGGCATCTGCTCTGCTCCCACATGTACACGCATCCTAAGGGCTTGGGTTTTTGGAGGTGGGATGGGAGTCGTAGGTGAGGCTTTAGCACATATGGTGTACGCCTCACTGTCTTTCTGCGTGGTGGGCAGGAAAAGTACTTTTTGGAAGGCTACCAGCTGACTTCTTAGAGCCTGTGCCAGCTCTAGTTCAGATCCAGGCCAGGTCAGCAGTGCAATAAGTTCTTACAGTCTGATGGCTGCCCTGTATCAAATGAGGTTATTGTCTCTGTCCAGTTCCTGGTGCACACATGTTCACAGCACTAAATGGGAATGAAGACACGCTTACCCATACAGGAGACCTCTTTAGATAGTACAAGAAGTGTTTTAGTGCGGTGGTGCGAGGAAGCTTGTGCTGCTGCTATCTGTGCTATACGTGGTTGGTGGATAAGTAGAGAACTTATGTTTTCAGGATGTTCAATTCAGCACTTTCACAAGTACTTAAAAAATTAGCAGGTGTTTGCAATAACATTTCCATGACACTTGCTTGTCCTGCTAATTTCTCCCACAAGGTTTTGCTATAGCTCTCACTATAATGGGAAGAGAGACTGAAGTAAAATTGTGATTTCTGGAAGAAGATCTAAGCTTCAAGAGCTGATTGAAAGCTCATTGAAGTTGACGGACAGGCTCCTATTGCCTTATGGTTCAAGCCTCAAACGCATTTGAGAGGTGCCAGCTCAAAGTTGAGTTTGATTAAAATGTTGGGGCAAATTTAGGACAAATAACATAAAAGGCTCAGTCTCACCTCTTCTCCCCAGAGTTCCAGCTGCTGCTAACACGTTTGTACTTCATTTTGCCATTGAACGTGGGCATACGTATGCCTTTTGCATGCATACACAATATATCATAAAATATATTCCTGTATCGCATAAGCATCCCAATTACGCAGCTATATTTTACTCCGCAACCGCTTAAATTTACCACCTTTTGTCTTATGAACAACTGTTAACTGGCTATAAATAGTAAATTGAATAAATCCTGAAACCATAATAAAATGCTTAGGTTTCAATTATTTTTTTTAATCCTGCAGGTGTGGAGGATCAACACAAAGCACAACATTATTTATGTAAATGGTTCTGTCCCAGGTTACAAAAATTGTTTGGTAAAGGTACGTTTGTTTCTCAAGTTCTTTCATTTATCAAGTTACTATTCATAATCTTGACATTATTTTTTGTGATCTGCATTTTCTCCAGTTTGAAAGTTGATTTGAAGTGGAAAATAGTTGTTTGTGCTCTTCATTTGTTTAGGATCTGATCTTGCACCTTTGAATTTAATGGGAGCAAGATTAGGACTGGTATGGGGAATAATCAGTAGAGATAATGATGAGGCCCTTATTCAGATTAGTTTTTGCTTTGTAATGGAAATGCCCATCGATGTTTAGCCTACAGTATATTAACACACCATGAATATGATTCTGTAATAAGTAGCTTAGGTCTAGTGCATTTCAGCTTATCACTATTAAACTGAGCCACTGGATTGGTTAGTGAGCTTTTCAAGGTGCCTGTTCTGAGAGCTGTACTGAGCATGAATGAACAGAAGTGCAGTTAGCATCAGGTTAAGAGCAATCTGGTCTCTTGACCATACATGGCAGGAACTGGAATGCTACCTTTTTGTCTTTCTCCAAAGTTGCTTTCTGAAGAATAGTAAAGGTGAAACTGGGCAGCTAGTGTTCATGGGATATTTTTCTTCAGTTAACATGCGCAGAATATTGCCATTTTCTGTAGCATTTAAGGAATTGTTCTCAAACTCCCATGAGATCTACTCGGGATTCATAGGTTCCAAGGCCAGACGGGACAATTGTGATCATCTACTCTGACTTCCCATAATAGTTTGAACATGTGCATTTCAAGTATGCATACAAAATTCTGTAAGCCATAATAGTGAAATAAAAGACAAGGCATGGGCAAGTCAGAAACTAACTGACTTTAGGGACTCTTTCAAAATAGACTTCTCTTAATGCCTTTCTTTCTGACGTTGCCTAAGCATATTGTAAATAGGTACTTGCAGATATCTGCTACCTGAAGGAAGTTAAGCCAGTTCCTCTGAGTTGGAGTAGATAACAAGGTATTGCGAGTCTTTGGGTATGTCTATATAGAGGTAAAATACCCATGGCCTGGGTCAGCTGACTCAGGATCACAGGGCTCAAGCTGCAGGGCTAAAAAATCAGTGTGTGGACATTCTGGCTTTTGCTGGAGCCTGAGCTCTGAGACCCTCCATCCCGAGAGGGTCCCAGAGCTTAGGCTTCAGCCCAAGGCCAAATGCCTATACAGTGATTTTTTTTTTTTTTTCCCCCCAGCCCCAGAGCCTGAGCCGTGCGAACCCAAGTCAGCTCACCCAGGCCAGCTGCAGGTGTGTTATTCCTGTGTGGACATATCCTTTAAGATCAGTGACCATAGAGACAGCAATAACAATTGGACAGATTGCCAGGTGTTAGTTGCGCAGTATATACTTACAATGTGTCAGGACAGAGGAAATTAAATAATCCACCTCTTGAAAATCTCAGAGTTAATAAGTCAGAAAGTTTGACTATTGTGATTAAGAAGTTAATGTTTCTGGTATATGTTCTATTATGGGCATTGAGTTTGTGACAGGTACTTCACTGTTTGTGGAACAGCATTACAGACTTTTTTGCTTGCTTTAATAAAACAAACAAAAAAACACCTCACTTTAGAAGGGAAATGTTTCATTTTCTGTGAGGGAAAAAATAGCTTCTCATCACACTTTTTCCTCCTTTGCGAATGCATCAATTTGTCCTTTTTTCTGACTTTGGTCACAAAATCATTTCACAGTTGAGGCAACTTTGAACCCTGCTTTGGATATGACCTCATTTCCTATTTTAGGAGATAGATTATGCAAATCAGTCTTCATTTTTTTAGTGAGGGAGGAAAGGGGGGATTAAACAGATGTCCAGAAAGATGTTTTAGGCAGAGAAATTAGACTTCTCTCCAAAAGTAGTGGGCATGACATCAGTATTTGGGACTGTAACTGTGGGTGATTATTCATTAATTTAAACAGATGGAAAAACCAGTCTTTTCTCCGGCTGCATTCAGCAGTTCTTGTCAATCCTGAGACACACAACTGAGGTTGATATAATTATGGTTAATGGGTTTGAGGTTTAATGAAATAAGAGTGGGAGAAGTGGTGATTTTAGGCCTGTGGTGCAAATAATTTTTCATTTTAAAACTATAACTCTTTTTTTCTCTCTGCGTGGTGCCCTTCCTCTGCAGCACGGGGCACAGGTCACTTGCTGATTTAAACTAGAGTAAATGGTGGATTCTCTAGAACTTGAAGTCTTTAAATCATGATTTGAGGACTTCAGTAACTCAGCCAGAGAACATGGGTCTATTACAGGAGTGGATGGGTGAGGTTCTTCGGCCTTTGATGTGCAGGAGGTCAGACTAGATGATAATGGTCCCTTCTGGTCTTAAAGTCTATGAGTCTAAGTGTAATATTGTTGCAGGCCATTATTTTTAAGTCTTAATTTGTCTGACCTTGTATGTAACTGGTGGATGAATATCATACCATGTCTTTATGCTCCTATTTAATGATACCACTACATGAGAACTATAAATTGTCTCTTTTGAACTAAAATATATTTTTGCAAAAGATCTTCCATTTAGGTCACATCTTCATGAACGAGACATTATATTTAAAATTGGTAAATACATAGATGGCCCCATCACCACAGAATCTGAACACCTTGTGAGCTCTTGCTCCCATTTTTTATTTAAACTAAATGACATTAAAGATTAGACTTGTAATGTACTTAGCACTGCATTTTCTTCTACATTGCTATTAACAAGGGCCTTGAACCATAAAGAATTGTAAGTGAAAGAGTAATAAATGGTGTTAATCTGACCTGAGGTCTGGTTTAGCATGATATTGGGTTGCAAAATAGTTTACAGATCTATTGGTATTAAACAATGGAACAGCTTTTTAAAATGGAATCATGTTACCTGGGTTAATGTTCTAGTTAATTCTACATGAAAAACTGTGGAGTTTTTTGTAGGATCTATTGTACTGGATTATCTATCTTCCTACTCCCCGAAGGGAGAGAATGCATGTACTGTATGAAGGCTTTTTTGTTTTGTTTTTAAGATATTCGTTGGATAAACTTAGATCCAACTTTAACACTGGTGAGAGACCATTAAGGATAGTCCTTTCAACACTGAAAGAAGCTATAAAAATACTTTGACCTTTTCCCCCAGGAATCTGTAAACTTTTTAAATTTTCTTTCATTAAAATGTTATGAGTAACAATGAAATATGCGAGAAGGGGAGATATACTAAATTTCTCAGTACTGGGGCTGGGCAAATAACTTTTTTTTTTTTTTTGGTTTGCTGTTAGTTTTGAGAAATTGGGTTTAAAAAAATCTGTTCGGGTGAAACCAAATTAAAAAAGCCTGTCTTGGTGATTTTTAAAGGGCTAGATTCACAAAATGAGGGGGAGGTGGTAATACCGGTCTTATAACAGTTAGCCAAGTTAGGGTACGGACCTCATATGTGGGAGACCTGGGTTTAAATCCCCATTTCGAAGCAGGGGTTTGAACTCTGGTCTCCTAACTACCATACTATGGGGTATTCTGAGACGTCTCTCTCTCTCTCTCCCTCCCCTGGTGAAGCAGTTCAACTTTGTATGAAATAGCTGAGTAGTAATTAGGCCAGAGAGACCTAGAAGAAATGACTCTTCAGCCTTGTTGTTAGGGTTCAAATCCTGCTCCTTGAGCGGGGATTGAAACCCAGATCTCCCACAGCCCAGGTGAGTGCTCTAATGGTTGGGCTAAAAATTTTATAAAATGGGTAGGTAGTGCCATCACCACCTCTTCCTGCCATTTTGTGAATCTAGCTCCCCCACCCCACCCCACCCCCCAAAAAAAAATTCTGGCCGAAACTATTAGGTGAATTAGTGTCAAATTTGCAAAGAGTTTCAGGTTGACTGAACTTCATTTTAGGTGAATATAAATTGTTTTTTCAAACAATTTTGCCCAGCTCTACTCAGTACCTCACAAGAGGTAGCTCCCAAGAAGGATTCGGCCTTTATTTGAGTCAAGTAGGTGCTTCTTCCTTTCCGAATTATAACACTTTTGCTTAGTTATCATAGCAAAGAATGAGAATTACAGGCCAACAAATTGTAACAGCCTTTCTGACAATTAAAATCTCAGATACTGCAGAGCAAGGCTATTCTCACTAGGAGAGCTCACACAGCCATACGTCTATAAGACTAAAGACAAATTTCCTGTAAGTTGTAGTGTTTGGCCTTGTTGCTGCTTTTTTTGACCCCCTCTACAGTAGTAAGCCTCTGGAGCTTAGTTACTAAATGAGGTCTGTGGGTGGGATTTTCAAAAGTACCCATTTTATTTAGGAGCACATGTCCTCTTGACTTTCTAAGGGTGGGTGTTCGTAAGTCACTCCAGGCACTTCTGAAAATTTCACCTGATATTCCACTCTTGAGCTTGGTGCAGATCTCCTACTCTATAGTTCTTAAATTGGGAGGGATTATATAGCTTTAATGTTTTTCCTTAGAGGAGAGTTAGCGGTATTTGGGCTACAGACTGATTGTCTGTCTATTTTCTCTTAGCATTTCACTACAAACTCTGTTGTAGTATATTAGTTGGTTTTCAATTTTTAAAAAACTTACAAGACTCTGTTTTCACATAGTGATTAACTATACCACAGAGTGCATTAGCAGGATATTCCTTAGGCAGTTGAAGGCTCATAGGCTATCAAGATACCGGAGGTATGCACCAAATGCACATCATGCTATGTTAGAATGGGTTAAATAGTATAGTTTTTTGATATTGAAAACTATTTTAAAATTCATAATTTTAAGAAACACAGTCCTGTCACCCCGTAAGGCTCTGTTTTCTTCTTCTCCTTAGTCCAGTACTTGCTAAGAGAGATTCTGCTAGAAGAAAATAGTCTAGATGGTCACTTGCCTTGAAAGGTCATGTATGAGCCTGGCAGTTGAAGAGGGGATTATATTTTGCAAGCTCTTCTGAAAAGATGCCTTCAAAAAATGATAGATGGCTGAAAATGATTGTATCTAAATAATTCTAAAGGCAGTTTACACTGTACTGTCATCCAAAAGAACACTTATGATAATTGGTAC